GGTAATATTTCATTTTGATGTAACAGTAATGTTATTTTAATGATATGATGTAAGTCAATGCATTTCACTGTATGCGAATGGTTATACCAAACGTGACGGATGCCTTATTGCACTAATAAAATAATAAGCTAATTTATTTATTGGAGTTTTATTTTATTCTACCCTAATGAAGGATGTTTTATACTACATTTTATAATTGTTACGGTTAAAAGGTCTATTCAGTATTGTCGTCAGTGCGTTTACAACAAAACGTGAGAGTAGTAATCGACATCACAGAAAGCCGGCGTGAAGCAACACGTAAGCATAGCGTTATTTCGCTGTGTAAGTGAGGTTACCGGACGCCCAATCCTTCCCCTTTCCAATTCCTAAATCTCCGAGATCCTGATTGCCAAAAGGCCGGCAATGCACTCGTAACTTCTCTATCGCATGGCTCTGATTGCTTAACATCAGGTAATACGACTGATCGATTGCCGTAAAATCATCGATCACCCGAAATTTTGCGCAACATTAGTATGTGACCTAGCACCTCCGCCAACCATACAGTCATCCCACTCGCGGTTACAATGGAAGAGGTCACAGTATAGGTATTATATTATTTACTATGTCGTCTTTTTTGCCATTTATTAAATTCAACGCAAAATAAAAATGTAACGATGGAGTTTTTTGCTAATTCTTCTCCATTTGATTCTACACTGGAACGAGCACCTAGCTTTACTGGACGAACAGACTGACAGACTACTATTCTGACGTTTCAAAAGCATTACTGGTATAAGTAGTTGTAAAAAAAAACCTGTTGGACTGCCAACAGCAATAGTTTCGACTAAGGGCCGAATCACATTGATATGGCTGCGGCTACCAGGGTCGCCAGACTACAGATCCGAGCGACTGGTATCTACTTGACTAGTTTAGTTTCTACATTAGGCAAGAGCATAAGGCAGGGGTAAGGAGCGCACAGCCCAGCGCAGACTCTCTCAGAGAGAGAGATGCCTAAAGAATTGGAAGTTTGATCTAGATTCGTAGCACTCACTGACCACCCCCTATCCAGCTTGTTGGACTAGGGGAAATGCCGTAGATAAGCAGAAAGCTTGCTCAAAAGGCTATCATGCGATTCCCGGTCGAGGGCCTACCGGTCTACCGGACTTGATATCTCAAATCAAGTCCGGTAGACCGATTGTGGCGAAACCCGTACTGTGGTCCAACGAAAAGATTGTTACTTTCCAGTATACATTTTACTTTACTTTATATCAAGTAAACAAAAATACCATGAGGCGCTCGGCAGGATCGGCACGACTGCCCTTTTAGGGCACGGGTTGCACGTTGGCAAGCTTCCAGATCTTGGGTACTATACCAATCATAAGAGAGGCGAAAAAGAACAGTATTATTTTTTTTATCGCGGTCGCGGTTCCTCATTGCGCTTACCCCGCAACCCCGGCTGAACATCAGACCTATATTTATTTATTTTACACTTTTGCACATACATGTGTGTACAAGGTGGACTTAATGCCACAGGCATTCTCTCCCAGTCGAACCTTTGGGCGATGCAGAGATAGCAGTAGGTGCAAGAAGCAAGCAAAATCGTGATATTACTGATAAATATATATTTTATACACTTACTTACATAAATCCTATTAGAATAAATAAAATTATATATGGGAAATAAACTTACATATAATATTTACATATACTACATATGTGCATATAACAACATACATGGCCCGTCCGGACCGTCTGTGCTAGTCTATTAGCTCTTTGAGGCGCCGTACGTTTGCGTCTGGTTCTGGTCGAGTGGCGAGCTTCCCTGACTCGCTGTCCGCAGACCCGCGCTTACGGTGGCCAGAGATCGTCTGCTTTTGAATAAACGTAAAAACGATTGCGAAAATGTGCGATTCACGCGAAACTTTCTGTCCCGCACAACAAAACTTTGGAATGATCTTCCAGCGGCGGTATTCCCGAATCGATACGACCTTCAAACCTTCAAAAAACGAGCGTACCCCTTGGTAATAGGACGGCAACGCACCTGTGTTTCCTCTAGTGTTGCGGGTGTCCATTGGCGGCGCTGATCGCTTACCATCAGGTGATCCGTCTGCTCGTTTGCCTCCTATTCCATAAAAAAAGGAGAAGACGGCTCCACTGATCACTTCCCAGGTACCTACTTCATCACAGACTCGACGCCAATGGTAACCCGTCCTTTCGTTATTTGGGACCCATCTGGAGGTGGCGCGATTCTACGGCCAATAAAACACATGGATCCTTGCAATGACTGTCGCAAGTCACAACTGTGACATCAGGTCGGCCGCCGCCTGGTGCGACCTCCCGTTCGCTAGCACCAGCGTGTCGTCAGCGTAGCAAACTATGCTGACACCGCGCGGAAGGTCGGTGCATAGCACCAGACAGATCAGCTGATGGTAAGTGATCTGCGCCGCCCATGGACACCCGCGATACCAGGGGCGCGTTGCCCAGCAAAGGGTTACGCTCATTTCTTGAAGGTCAAGGCAGGTCGTATACTCGTCGGAATACTGTCGCTGAACGTACCTATATTCCAGTTTTGCTGTGCGGGGCAGGTTTCGTGTAAATCTCAGTTGTTAGCTGCCAAACATCAATTTTTTTTATGGTATAAGTCGGCAAACGAGCGGACGGATTACCTGATGGTAAGCAATCAGTGCCGCCCATGGACACCCGCAATACCAATGGAGTTACGAGTGCGTTGCCGGCCTTTTGGGGATAGGGGTTGCGGCACGGAGTAAGAACAAAGAGGAGATGTTATAACTAGATTTCCCTAAGAAACACCGCGTGATATTTTGCGGGGTGAGGGGGTGTTAGACTCCGCCCACTTTTTTATTTGCCATCTGCCGGTCTATAGCAAAACTACTTGCTCGTTCAAATTAATTCGTTTTGTAGTTATGTAACTATTTCGCAATAGATGTCACTAAATGCATAATGCATCAGGGTCGTACTCAGAATTACCGGGGGGTTGTAGTTTTTAATACTATATAATATTATTGGTGAATGAGGATCATTATACATTCATCAAAGCCACTTTATTGTAACATCTTTTTCTTTTTTATGGGGAGAAACTCGTATACTATGGCTACCAACAGGCTGATGCACTACTGATAGCTGGCTATTTGCACGGCTTTCGTACATTATATTACCTATTATTTTTCATATTGTCTGGACTTGAAAAGAGGCGGACTTTTGAGTTTGTTTCGGTATTTTCTTAGAGTAGATAAAAATGCCGGCTTCGTCTTGATTTTTACATATAATACGGTAAATGGCCTATTTGCAAAAAGTAAATTCATTGTTTCATTGTGATGACGAGTGTGTGGACTATATTAATGTGTAATTTGGAAATATGCGTTTAGACTTGTGCCATCTTCTAACATACCGATTCAAGGATGCGTCAATGAAATAAAATACTTCAAGTTTATCTTCATAGGTCTTGAATGGACAAGGCCACTTACTACTTTATAACTATTAACGGTACCTACGTGCTTCGCTACGTATTAAAATATTAAGTTCATTTATTAAAACATAAAAATTTAATTTTATGTGATTTTCCGCCAAATGAGCCAAATGATAGTATATTGTTTATGTTAGTTGAATACGCGTAATTATTAATGTTCAGTGTCAATTTTCGTACATATCTCCAAAGAACTAATGACTTCAAACAGGTTTCCATCAGCAGGAGTTGATCGAGGAATGACAAGCAATGTTTGGGCACCACCAAAAAGCAGTCGAGTACCGCGTAAATTTTACATTATCTGATTAATTGCCTATATTGATTTTTTTTTGTCGCGATTGTGCACTCAAACCATAAAATAATTGACGTTATCCGCAGAACTTTTGGAGTTTCAATCACCTGTACATTTAATGGCAATGTTAATGCAGATGTACGGCCCTACCACCTTCTAATAATGTAGCAGCAATTGTCTTAATATTGCCACTTGATTTGCATCATGCGGTCGCCGGCCTATGTTTGGTCCCCTTGCTCGGAATTAAACCTTCACTCAACAACACAACAATATTTTGGAAAATTTAAAAACAAAACAATAACTCAACAATATTTTGGAACAATAATGTCTTTATGTTTGTTTTACTACTTGACAATAGATGGCTGGCTATTTGTAAAATAATATAAACGTTACAAAAATAATATTTTGGAGATTGAAGGATCTTTAGGAATGTATGTTCAGCAAATTACTATGCAAACAATCATTAAAATATATTAATACTGAACTATGCGTAGCTATAAAAATTTAGTTCCTATGATACAAAGTGTCGCCATCTAGTGTCGCGTAGATTGATAATTGGAAACGCTGACAATATGAGACTTTGCTAGAACTATTTTAATAAATTTCGAATAAAATAAGTTCCACATGAGAAATGATGCCATCAATAGTACCGTAACGTTTATCATAGTAGTTTTTCTAAGATAAAATACAATACTTCATTTTGTTTTCTTCTGTCACGAGTAAAATGAATACTTTATCGGAGTTGTGCACAGTACGAACGACCACATTACACTGACGCAAGCCACGCCCACCTTGATGACGTGAGGGCCGACTTGTCACAGGGCCGAGTTGTTTAGGCCGTCTCCTCTTTGTTCTTACTCCGTGGGTTGCGGAGATGAGGATTGGAAAGGGATATGGGAAGGGGAGGGATTTGGCCTCCGGTAACCTCACTCACACGGCGAAACACAACGCTGTGGGTTGTTTCACGGTATTCTGTGAGGCCGTGGTATCACTCCGGTCGAGCCGAACCATTCGTGCCGAAGCTTGGCTCTCCCACACATCTATGTGATAGGGATAAAGCTTTCGCGTGGGAGCATTGTGAAAAGATGCGGCGGGGATCTAACCGTATTCTTCAGAACACTCCCGTGATATATGACTACGTTTCTACGCAGTGCCAGAGTTCGTATGAACTACTTATGCAAGCGACACAAATTAAGGTCAGGTTTTAAAAAAAGCATTATTTTTCGTTTCAGAAATAAAATACCAACATAGTATTACCATAATTTTATTGTATTGAAGTAAGCCTATATACATCCCGTACCGTACAAAACAAGTCTAATTGATATCGACCTTTGGGTTTTCTGAGAGTGTGCGAATGGGAGATCAAATATATTGATACATGTGGCTCGCTCCCACTCGAGGATAGTTTATCGGAGACTTAAAGCTAGAACAGTTAACATACTCTTGACTATGCCCAGGAACTCTACATTGTCAGCTCCTGCAAGAATGAAATGGGTAAAATTAGTGGAAGAAATATAATTATATATATAAATATATATGGAATGTGTTCAAAATGCACATAAGGATATAAAATTTGAAGATGAACTTTAGGGACAGCGATTCTAAGTCTCGTGAAGATCAAGTTAGTTAGTAAACAGAATTTTTAGAAGGCAACTAGCAAACCTATCATACTCCTTTTCGCCACCAGATGTATATCAAAAAGTTGGCGCTGTATGTAAAAAAAGAGTTTTTCCGCTTTTCTGTTGAAATTATTCCTGAATTTTCTTTGCTGTAAACCTCACGGAGCCCAAGCCCTTTCCAACGAATGCAAACCGTGGAAATCGATTCGTGCGTACTAGAGTTACAGCGTCAGGAAGGAAAATAAAAGAAATATAAAGTAAATGGTACATACCATAATAGCGTTGACAATATCGGATTGGTTGTTCCGCAGCGCCCGGACGGCCCGCGCTCGTGACACGTTGGCTTGTGACATTACTATCTCGACATCCTTTTCATCCACACCGGTGTCATCAACTCCTTCCTCATCCTCTTCCTCGGCTATGGGCGCCACTGTCTGTAAACGAAAGCGCATTTCAAATTAGTTATATTCATTCAATGCAATAGTTTCCAACTAGTGAAATTCAATACTTTTCTATGAAATTAATATGATACTCCCAAATCTGACGTCATACTTAGTCTCAGGATATCAAAAATGGCAAAATATCTCACCGTTCCAGCAGCAGCAGCATCGGTGCCTGCAGCAGCGCTCTCCGGAGCCTTGAACCGCTCGGCAGCGGCCATGGTGGCTTGTTGGGACAGGTCCTCAATCTTGGCCTCTCCGAACACAATGTATGTGTCAGAGTGGGGGTTCTTGTATACATCAGGGGAGTTGATCACAAAGAGGATGTTCTTCGACTTCCTGATTGTTACTCTGTTAACTCCTTGCACCTGGAATTGAGATGGGTTGATGTGGTGAGGAATGAAATAAATAAGTTCAGTTGATAATTGAACTTGTTCCATAATTCTATAAAAGCAAAACCACAAAACCACTTTGACCAGTTGTGAGATAGCTGCAATTTTGTGGTTGATAACCATAATCTAATTCACATAAAATATTAACAAAACATTGTTTGCAAATATTTTGTAGAATTGCCTTTGGGTATTCATATGAATGTTGTCAATTGACCTGATTTACTTATGTGACACAATGACTAGATCTTAATAAATAAATAAGCACATAGTAGCATAGAAATTATGAAGCAGGCCCTACAAAAAATATCAACAGTAAATTTACCTACACAACTGGGACTTCCCCAGTAAGCACCAGTAACAGTGAGTACACTAGACACCTTAATTAACAACTAATCAGCAATAAAAAAACAACTTACGGGTTTGAGTCCAAGTTTGCTCATGATCTTGCGGGCTTTCTTCTCACCGCGAGACTGTTTCGCCTTGGACACGATGTCGATGCCCGCGATTGGGTTGGAGATGCCTCCAGTGCCTGGTGCACCTGTAATGACAGATTGACAATTAATATTTGTAATAAGTTTCTCTTTTTCTTAGTATTTTTATACTTCTTGCACAATGTACAATGGCGGACTGAACACCTTAAGCGTTCTTGCCCAGAATGGTACCATTGGTTGGTTAAAGAAAATCATTATCTGTTGCTAGTACTAAGAATCTGGAAATGTAAGGAATACTTCACTCATCCACCACCTAAAAAAAGGATTGAAATAACTCCAACACAAGTATTTGTAATTGTGTACCAGGGCCATTGCTTCATTCATAGGGAGACACTATTTTTTATCTCTGGGATCACCCTCATCATTGTAGTTAGTGTTATTGGAGATTTAAGTGCATAATTTGTTTGTGTAAGTGTTCCTAAGAACTTTTAATGATTTCAGGTATAAAAGGCATCATGGAAACACTGTAAATAGCTCCATTTATTATGTCTGCTGTGGAATCACTCCAGTCGTGTCGAAGACGAGTTTCAGTGAGAAATAATCAATGTAAATCTTACCAGCATCTTCCAATTCTGGGATGGTGTCATCGGAGTCACTGTCAGAGGAAGCAGTCTCTTCCTTGCGCTTCTCAGTCATGGAGGCGGTGGCCTTGTCCAACTCTGTCAGTTCTGGCATTGTGGATTCTCTGTTTGATGTTATTTTGGGTTCTAGGAAGATTCCTGTGGATTAATTATTACACTGATGAATTATGTAGCTTTTAGTCAATGAAAAACTAATAGAGGAATAAGGAGAAGACTTTTGTTTTGTAGTCCCTATCCCCAAAAGGGCGGCAACGCACGCGTAACTCCTTGGGTGTTGCGGGTGTCCATGGGCGGCGCCGATTGGTAATCCGTCTGCTCGTTATTTATTTATTATAGTGAATTTAACAACTAATGATGATGAAATAACGTTGAGTGGCTTTATTGTAATCTTTCATTGAGTAAGTTTGGTTTATCAGCTGCTAAATATGCATGACTAACCAATACTTTTATCCTATCAGTAATCTAGTCCTATTCATTGTTTAATATGCTGATTTTTAGGAGTTAAGTGGCTAAAAGACATAGATGAAGATTTCAGCACCCTAACAAAAGAGTTTATATACAAATCCAAATAGAACTGAGACTTATCAAATTCCTATGCTCAGATAGACAAAGAAACCTCATTATTATGAAACAGATACATATAAATTTTAGCTTATATTGATGAAACTAATATTAATTGGTATTTTACGAATTAGACAAAATTTAGTCGCACGATTAGTCACTTTTAACTCAAAATACAAAGTTCAATCACGATAACAAAGAGGTTTCAAGTTACAAATTCAAGAACTATTGTCTATGCACTAGAAAATCAATACTGGCTAGATAAATCTAGCTTCATAACAGTTCAAATTATGAAAAACACTACTACAATTTCAATGCCGAACTAGTGATTTTAGACCAATTTATCGTGTATTCTAGGTTGTAATTTATATTTTATGGATGTGATCGCGAGACATGCACCAAAATATGTCGATATACGAATACGAGATACGAATTATATTTTTATATCTACATAGATATAACCTAGTATCTTCACAAGGAGGCCCCTAGTGCGCAAATGCACGAATGTAGGTAGAAACTAAATATAATTTCTACATAGAACTATGCATTTTAATAAAGGATAAATACACACAAGTCTAATGTTTTCTATAGCATAAATAGCTTTACAACTGTTCTAGTCTATTTAATAGCGAGGTTTAAACGAATCGCCGAGTTTTTATCCAATAATAAGGCATGAAGTCGTGACCATGAGCATCAAAAATTAAAATTACGTTTCAGAGACTTCCATAACACTACAAAGTAATGCGGTAACACTTTAGCTTTAATGTAACGCAAGATGCAATACGTTTGGACACTTAATATCACTGTAAACTATAAATAATTGAACACTTGTGCGAAAATAATATGGGCGCGGGTTTTGCTATTTTACCGAAACAAAATATTGAAATAACCCCACAATTTCGCAATAATTACAGCGCTCTACACGAAAACCTTTTAAAATCACACATTTGCACAAAGATTTTTCTAAAAACTTAGGATTTATTACCTTTATTTAGGAATATTCGGTACAGAAGGAATCAACGAAGGACTCGCTTCAATTTGACAAGAGCGGAAAAAATCGGCTACAGATAAAATATTTTTGATCGACTTTAATATTTCTATGCGTGTATCCGAACGTTTTAGTAGTATTATTTTTTTTTGTTTTGGCAACACCAACGCCATAGTGTTGTTCCCTGAAATTAATAAATCAAGTATCGATAAATTAGTAACAGCATTATTTTTTTTTACATGACAATTTTACTAGTTCGTCATCCTGCATCAGAAATAGCAAAGACGTTTTACTTGCTAGTGCCGCAGACCCAGCACCGTCTTTCGTAATTATTTATAGATATGCTAGGATAAATACTACGTGTTAATAGTTTAAGGAACAATGGGTTTGATATGTTAGTTTTAACCAAAAACCCTAAATAAAATTAAATAAAAAAAGTCTAGGTCGTAATCGTCAAACCAATATAAAAATAAATTAAATACATATAAAATTCATTTGATTCCTTTAGAAAGGTAGGTACTAAAGGTGTAATTTTATGAAAAGATTATGTTACTCCTACTTTACTTCACTTTATGTAAAGCCTTTTGACTTTTTACTTTTTGCAGTAGAATACTATACGTAATATTAAATGTATAATAATAATAAAATATCGGGGTCTTAACCGTACTACCTGGATGGCTCTGATAGCCGTCGGATGCCTCTCCTTCCCTAAGCAGCTCAACGTATATTGCCCCTGTGTCGCTACATGCTAGCGGCCGTTTCCGGGGGCCCATTAACTAAGTTTGCCAGTAACCCCTGCCTGTTTATCCGTATGTATGAATATTGGTCAGGGGCAGGGACCATTGTATTTCCATACTTTTCATCTACTAGTGCATAGCAACCCATACATAGAACCCTATACATTTTTACCACATTTCAAAATAGTCCTGCATTAACCGGGGATTGTCCTTGGGTGCACTTTTATAGTGCATACATGGATAATTGCCGGCTGATGTCCCATCACATTTAGATTAAAACTGTTCATGGGCCTCTGCGAGTTAGCTTCGGCTCCTCGTACGCCTTCCAAAGGTCCGGGACCCTGTGGTCCCGTGAAAGGAAAGAACAAATCAAATATCGATATCGACTTAAATTCTAAACTCGCAAGACATCCCTCAACTTCCTAAACTAATGTCAATAATGTCAAATCATTCATTTCATTTCGTTCGAAGGCGGTGGTATTCGTTCCTCGCAGTTTTTGTTCGTATTCATCGCTTTTCTTCATACGTAAATACTTTCATTACAAATACGATACGAAGTGTACATTACAATCTAATTATCGACAGTGAATGAGTTGTAAGCATGTCGCTAATCGTGTAGTGATTCGGTGTTTAATTTAGACAGTAATAATCGAGTCCAAAGTGCGTGTTGTTTAAAATTTATTAATTTGTGTTTGTGATAATATTACATACGTGCCAAATATGTCTTTGGAAGATAAATTCAACGCTGCGGTCAACGTAATCCGGAGTTTACCAAAGAGCGGTGAGTTTTTTTTTTATATTATTTTTTTATTGCACTGTTGATCGATTAGTTGGTTTCTTCTGTTGTAAGCATTATTACATAAAATTTATCGCGGTTAATCTCTTTCTAATGACACCAGAAACGAGATTATGTAAACGGTAATAATTATGATGCGTGTCGCACATTGTATGATAATCTAAACATTAGTAAGCAAGTACACAGTCTCTATTATTTAGTTGCTATGGACTTGGATTTTGATAATACGTAATAGGGGCCGCCGTTTTTAATTGCCAGTATCAATACTTTTCTGGTCTATATTTTTTTTTTGTTTTTGGAATAAATCATAATATTGCTTTTTTATTTTTTCTTTTATATCATGGTCATGGACAGATACACCATATATTTTGAGATCTAGCTAGATTTAAAATGATAAATAAATATCATATACACTACTAGAATTGAAAGTTCAGGTGTAAATAATGAAAGGCTTTTTATCATTATCACGGCTTTGTTGGATTTAAAAATGAAATAAAAATGGGCCAAAGTGATGTAGAAGAAGTAAAAGCAGCATAACAATTAAAAAAAATACTTACTAAGTAGGTACTTAAATTTATTTCAGAAAATCTTATTAGATTAATAAGAGTTTAAATCAAAATAAGAAAAAAAATATCCGTTTTGTTTATGATAACTTTTTTTTCAATTATCACACATTGCAACAGCTTGTTAATCCTCAGATAAGTAATTTCAATAGATAACAGTATTATTTTTTGTTAATCAATTATTATCATGTAGATAAAGTTATGGAATTTGATCTTCTTTTCACCCATTTCACAATAGAGATAGAATAGCAAAAAAAAGATCGAAAGACAAAAAGGTCGAAATAAAAATTAATGTCTTGCGTGATCTTCACATTCCAGTCTTATTCATATCACTTATATGAAAACCTTTTTTTAATGTTATTATAAAAATTAATATACATATTTTAATTAAATACAATATTATTAATTGTTGTTAACCTTGCTTAGACTGATCTTAAATTACAGAGAAAATAATAATTATTGTAAATAATTATTAAATTATTTATAAAGTATTAAAACAGCATGAGTTTCCATACAAACTCTCTGAAATTATTGAACAGGAATGGATGAACCTATCTGAGATGAAAGTATCTTCTCACAATATGCAATGAGTCCAAAACCAATGCCCACTATCCCAAGTTAATTGTACATTCTAAGATGAGACACCACTGACATACAGTAATAGAAAACATTGTCAGGAAACCTGGGCTTATATTTTCTAATTATAAGTTGAAAATGGCCAATTTGCTTAGAGTAATTGTGGTGATCAATGCTTAAACCTTCTGTGTGTGATAAAAGGTCTTTATTCGGCAGTGGACACTTGTAGGCTGATAATGATGAAGTACAATAACTCCATGTCTAAAAAGTTACTTCAAAACATTTTTTAATTTATTTAGATAGTTGACTGTCAATAACGTGTTTTTCTCGAAACTTTCTGCCTCTAACAGCAAAACTTTCGAATGATCTTTCGGCGGCGGTACTTCCGAACTGATACGACGTTCAAATCTGCAAGAAATGCGCGTAATCCTTTTTAAAATACCGGCAATGCGCCTGTGACTCCTCTAGTGTTTCAGGCGCCTATGGGCGGCGCTGATCACTTACAATCAAGTGTTTCGCCGCATCCATCTGCTCGTTTGCCGAAAATCTCAACCCAGCTGTGTTATTAGTTTCATTCTAATAGAGGGCAATTTTATTTTTAAATGAAAGTCATAATTACTGATAATTTTTGTCTTTTAAAATACAATTATAGTTTGCCCTACCTAAGAATTGACTTAAAATGCACACAACAGCTATTTACTCTTGCAACCTTGTCATTTGCAAGTGTTTAAAAGTTGAAACTTGATTATCTAGTTATTATAGGAAGTGTACAGCTTATATTTATCTAGGTTTATATTTAAAACATAATTACTTATTATGATACTTGTATCTATATCACCAACAGCCCATAAAGTACACTGTTTTTTTTTTGTGAGAGGATAATCATCAAATGACTTCTCTCCCCCAGGGTGAGTCGAGAGGGAGAGTCAGACTCTTACTGACTAAAAACCCCCTGTTTCTGCTCCTACTTTTTTTTTGGTATCTATCGGTTTGGAAAATGCTAATAACCCATCACCCTCGGGGAAGAGTCTGACAGTACCCTTCGCGCGAAGGATAGGTACTGTTAGACTCTTAGTGACAAAAAACCAACCCGGTTTTCCTCATTTACCTATGTGTCGGAGGCCGAGGCCGCTTATTATGTTTGCCCCGCAACGAATGTCCACTCGAAATGAGGCCCAATCTGATTTTCTTGTTTAAAAAAACAACATGTATATACGGGAATCGCTACAATCTTTCAAATAACCTAAATAATTCAATCAACAATCAATATGAAGTATTTTTTTAACTAGGTAACCTTTTATTCGTATTTCAAACGTAATATCGTCGTCGACCAGTAAGTGGACCCTGAACGCAACTGTCTCTTTCCCAACCATCATTCATTATCTATGCTTAAGCGATAAGTATAGAAAAATACCGTTTATTCACAAGGTCATTTTGTACGCCTTTTTCTTTAGTGTAGTAATTGAAAATTGTATTGAAACAATCAATAATGAACCTTTCCTGCTTCAGGATTCGACATTTCTGGCTTTAAGAATAGACACGATCTCCTTACTTTTTAAACGACTTCAAAAAAAGGAGGAGGTTCTCAATTCGATTGTATTTTTTTTTCTTCGTAGAATGTTATATTCTGCGAAGAAAATTGTTGTTTCGATGTTAGCTGCTACTACTACTACCAAGCATTTTGAATTTGTAATTTTTCTCTTGAACTAAACATAAGGGACGAAAACTGTAGAAAAATGAAATTGTTTTTTACCTACCAACTTCACCGTGCCTACGATCCTACCATACCTACAGTTCCAGATGTCGCCACTCGCGTTTTTAGGCACTTCAATTCAATACTCGTTCTGTCTTCAAACTACAAAGCAATTATTTCTAATTGCCCGTCGTAAGCCGGTAAACCATAATTACCTTCGTTCCACGTGTATTAGGAAAGGAAAGTGCTTACGTAATCACTTTTACCTATATTCATGTGCGGCACAAAATGTGTGTTCATTCAAAAACTAACTTATAAATAGCTGGGTTAAAAGAAAGTGAAATTTTGGTTGTACTTACATAGTACTTTTTTTGAGGGCGAAAATTCATCGCATGGTAACTCTTGCCTTGGTTAGGCGAGTGGAAGTGTCAGCTCAGGACCGAGGTCACGGTACCTTATTACGCATGACCCGCGAGAATATCAGACTCTTACTGATGCAAACCCATTTATTCTCCTCCACGAATGGAGGACTAAGTTTGAACTGGCGTACATCTTTGATCTGATACCAATAAATAGTTGATGGAAACTAACGACCGAAAAGTAACCGATCTTTATCAATAGACCGATCTCTGTTATTGAAACGATACTCCATAATTAATCTGTAAGATTTGTTCTGTAAGATACCTCGTGGCGCTATGCATCTCCAGCTTTCCTGGAGGCGTTAGCACGCTTTCTTTTTTTCCCCAAAAAACAACTGCTGAGGTAAAAATCATAGGGTTGTCTCCTGGTTTATAATCCAAGTACTGTGGGCCTACCATGACCTGTTAAAGCGGGAATCTTTCGGGCGAGAAAGAGGGATGGAGCTTTAAAAGGTGTATAGCTCCATCCCTCTTTTTCGCCCTAAAGATCCTCAGGCCCTCTGATCTGTTTGCAGATGGATGGAACGAAGTTTTGTTGGAATACATGAGGGAGGTACTGCGAAAGGAACTTATGAAATGTTGAATGTTGTTATACATATTTCTTGTTTTTTGTTATTAATGTAATTCGATCATATCAGTATTTACATAAATTGATAATATAATTAAAACATTCTAAGCTATTATCTCTAACATAAGCGTGTATATTATGGAAAATCTATGAAGAGGACGACAGTCCAGTCTTTAGCGGACTATTGTACGTATCTACCTAGTTACTGGGATTTTTTTTTTTGTGAGGGGAAAATCATCATATGAATTCTCCCGCCCAGGGCCGGGCAGGAGGGAGTGTCAGACTCTTACTGACTAAAAACCCCCCTGTTTCTTCTCCTGCTCTGTGCCGAGGTCGCGGTACCTCATTGCGCTTACCCCGCAACCCCGGCTGAACATCAGCCCTTTAGGGCCCCGTCTGTGGTGGTCGAATGGCTCTTTGAGGCGCGCGCGGAACGCTACGCGCCGTACGCTCGGGCCTGGTTCTGGTCGGGCGGCGAGCTGCCCTTACTCGCCGACCGCAGGGCCGTGGTTACTGGGATAAGGAATTCATTTAGCGATAAATTCTTTGTTAATTCGAATGGGAGAAAGGTATTATAACTTGAAGTACAATAAAACAAAACAATGAATGTTATAAAGTACATGATAAACAATTGTACTAAGCGGCTAATGACTGATTAAGTTATCTTTATAATACGTAAATGCGATTATTCAATATTATATTTTCTTTCACTGGAAAAGAGGTAGGTAGGTAACAACGAAATAACTGAAGAATTGTAGTTGAATATTATTTCATAAATCTAGTTTAGATTTCTTTGTTTTTTTTTTCAGTGTGAACATGAAAAATGTTCAAATGTCTCCTCCTGTGTTTAGTGTTAGAGGGAGTGTCAGACTCCTGACTGACTACAATCAACATCACGCTTGACTTGTATCCCCAATCGAGAATATTATCATGATGTGTGTGTCTGTGTCAGATTTTCTATTGCACTAGTTACTCATATTTTTTGTACTACTAACTAATCAACGTAGGTTACATATTACTTAACCTCTAGTTACTCGTTTTCGGTCGATATTACCTTTGTCCAAAGCCCCGTCTCTCTGTGTTCAGCGTTTCGTTACAATCGGTTGAGCCATTTAGGCGTTATAGGTTAAAAAACATACAAATGAACAAGACAGTTTTATAAATGA